TCTTTTTTTAGATCCTCTTATCTCTTTCTTTTGCCCTTAGCCTTGGAGGTGCTTGCAAAATGAGAACTTTCTGTCTTGTCTTGCTTTAGTCTTTCCTCTTCTTGTACGCAATGTGAAATGAGCTCATTAAGAGACCATTTATCCTTCTGACAGTTGTAAGATACCTTAAATTGATTAAACGTTGCAAGAAGAGAAATCAACACCAAATGAATGAGCAAGTCTTCTGAGAGTTCAAGCTTTAGTGCCTTGAGTTTAAAAACAATATTAGACATGCTCATAATGTATTCCCTGATATTTCCTTTGCCTTGATATTTCATGGAGATCAAGTTCTGAAGAAGAGTGCTTGTCTCCGCCTTATCGCTTTTTGCAAAGTGCTGCTCAATTTCAGCAAGGAATTCTTTGGCACTTGTAATGTTTTCAGAAACAGTGCCCCTAAACACCTTCGGGATGCCACGCTTAATGATCATTAGACTCATGCGATTTGAGCGATCCCACTTCTCATAATCTCTTTTCTATTCAAAGGTACTTGAATCCGTAGGAGTAGGGGGTTGCTCAGTCCTTAACGCAAGATCCATATCCATGCAACCAAGAACAATATCAATGTTCTCTTTCCAGTCCTTAAAATTTGTTCCATTGAGGACCGGAACAGAATTTAAATTGGCGAGATACTGTAAGCAATTGTAGTCTGAATTTAGAACACTAAAAATATACTAATTATGCTCACATTATATAAAAAATAAATAATATATATTCAAATAGTGGTTTAACCCATCTCAAGATACCCAATGCACCATCAATATCAAGTCTTTGGACGAGTAATATTAACTGCTAGAGGTATCTTGTTGTAATAATCAAACATTGACAATAAAGCACGTTCAACAACAAACCAGTCTTTGGATTGATTTATCATCGACAAAGCAAATCCTTATAATTATCACATGTTTATCATTACAAGTGTGTATGCAATTCGGCCAAATATTAATCTTCCTTTGGGTCGACTAATACTCGCATGAATATACACAAACACTAACATTCAATATTTTTCATGAACTGCCCAATTCAAGAGAAGTTACTTTGGTGACTTCTTGACTCAATTTGCTCACAAAAAATATTAAACTACCAAAAATTGAATATTTTATTTATATAACAAAACCAAATATTTAATATTTGCAAACTAATTCAAAAGAGAATTACCTCATTAGAATTCTACTAAGGATGAACACCTCCCTAAAATCTCATTAGGGATGAACACCTCATTTGAATAAATCAAAGGATGAAAAAAGACCTCATTTTCCACCAATACATAAAGGATGAACATCTCCCTAAAATCACACTAGGGATGAAACAGAGATAGTTCGAGTCTCTTTAGCATACTCGCTCTAAACCCTAAAAGGGAATTAAACAAGTAATCACTCAAACCCTAATTTAACATCAAATTTTCTTTAAATTCCTAGGAGATAGAGGCAATAAAATAATAACGACCAAACATGTGGAAACATTCATCATTTACCTAAGATTCTCTGTATTGGGAACTCCACAAACACCACCCCAATTCCAAACCCATAAAATTAAATAAAAACAAAAGATTCAAAAAAAGAATAGAGAACCCAATACAAGAAAAATTGAAATATGAAACACTGTTTCTTTTTCAGTAAAACTTGAAACTTAAACTGAAACAAAAGTGAAAAACGAAGAAGAAGAAGAATCCATAGCTTCCTCCACGGTTCCATCAGCAAGCAAAATCAGGTTGGGGATGTTACCCCCAAATTTAAATTTTAGGGTTCACAAAAATTAGAGATTATCCTCCACTTAGGGTTCATAAAATTGGGTAATCTGAATTGTTTAAAACAAAATTAATCCTAATTTTCATAATTAGGGTTCTATAAATTAAACGAGACATGAATCAAATATGGGCGGCTCCGATACCAATTGTTGGAAAATTAATAATAATAATAATAATAATAATAATAATAATAATAATAATCCCGATTTTGATTCTAACAATCAAACATAAACATAATCCCATACTGATAAACATGCTGTAAACTGAATGTGAAAGCGTACCTGAATTAGCCATAACGATGATGTCTTTATAGAGCACTATATTGATCTTATGGTCTCTACACAATTTTATTTTCGTGACATATGCTTTTAGCAAAAACTTTAATTTAGTCAGATCACTTTATTATTTGGCTTAATAAATAATGGCCCTAACACATTTAAATTATGTATCATATATATACATGACCCAAATTTTTCCAACACGTTTAAGACAGAAGACCGTTTCAGACAATGTTACAAAAGACTGATTCAGAAAACGTTTCAGAAGACCGTTTCAGAGAATGTTACAGAAGACCGTTATAGAATACCGTTTCAGAGAATGTTACAGAAGACCGTTTCAGAGAAAACCGTTACAGAGACCGTTACATAGACCGTTACAAAGATTGTTACAGAGACTGTTTCAGAGACCGTTATAGAAGACCGTTTCAGAGATCGTTATAAAGACCGTTTCAGAGACCGTTACAGAAGACCGTTTCAAACAATGTTCCAAAAGACCATTTCAGACAATGTTATAGAAGATCGATTCAGAGAACGTTTCAGAAGACCGTTTCAGAGAACGTTACAGAAGATCATTACAGAAGACCTTTTGAGACAGAAGACCATTTCAGATAAAACCGTTACAGAGAACGTTACAGAGAACGTTACTGAGACCGTTACAGAAGACCGTTTCAGAGACCGTTACAGAAGACCGTTTCAGATACTGTTACAAAAGACCGTTTCAGATAACGTTTCAGACAGAAGACCGTTTCAGATAATGTTACAGAAGATCGATTCAAAGAACGTTTCAGAAGACCGTTTCAGAAAACCCTTTCAGAGATCGTTACAGAAGACCGTGAACGTTACAGAAGACCGTTTCAGACAGAAGACCGTTTCAGAGAACATTTCAGAGAACGTTTCAGAAGACTGTTTTAGAGAACGTTACAGGCTCACTACTAAGTCTTCCCATAACTGCTACAGACTTTCTCTTATAAATAGAGACCACTTCATAATTCAGAAACACACCTCTCTCATTTTCTTTTTTTCTAATCTTCTTTCAATTATCCTGGGTTAATTTACTCTTTTGAGAGTTTCTTACTAGTTTCTCAGATTCTCGAATATTTCGAGAAGTTTCTGTTGTATCTGGAAGACTTGCACAGCACACCGCGTATAAATCTTTAAGGGCAATGCTTATACATGTCTCAAAAATAAAAAAATTTCTTATTTCTGTCAATTTTCCAACAAAATTTGCATATATTCCTTATTCATTTTATTTCCTCATAATGATCTATTTTTTTAATTCTATTTTTTTATTATTTTATCTCATTTTCCTCAAAATTAAGAACAATGTGTTTGGCACAAATATATTGAAACATAAAAATGTGTGATGAAATTTGTTTTCGGTAATCTCTTGGAAAATATTAATTTTTTATTGTTCTTCCCCAATTCTCTGTTTCTTGTTCTTTATTAAAATTATATATAATTCTTTATTTTCTTTTTTTTTATGGCTGTGTTTATTTATTCTTTTAATTTTATTTCTTCGTCATTCATTTTTTTTATCGCGATTGTGGACTAAATTTCCTCTACATTAATCAATAAACAATATTAAGTAACAACTGAATTTGTTTGTCACTAATTTAATAGAAAATACTAATTAATGAAAAAAAAATCATCGCTAATTTAATAAAACATATTGATTTTTTTCTTTTTAATTTTGTTATTTTTTTCTTCCTTAAATTTGTGTATTTTTTTACTTTTTCTAATTCTCTAATATTATATTTATTTTATTTTTTTCTTCTTACGCATTTTCTTTATCATTTCATCTCTTCTTTCTCATAATTATAAAAAATATTGTTTTATCGTTAATCCGTAGAAATTTAATATTAAGTTACCTGTTCAAATCATTGTTTCCTTTTTCCTACTTTTTTGAATAAAAAAATCGTATATAAATTATTTTTTGCTATTTTTTATAATTGTATTTACCTATTTTTTATTTTATTTTTATTTTTTTATCTTCCTCTTTTCTTAATTACAACGAAATTCATTATTCTCTAATCTTTTGAAAATTACAATTGATGATAAAATTTATTACTAGTGAATCGATAAAATAATTAACATAATTTATATTTTCTTAATTTACCTGAAAACACTGATTAATGACAAAAATTATTTGTCATTAATCAATTGAAAATATTAATTATTTTATTGTATCCCTTCTTTTTTCTGCTCATTTTTTTATTATTATTCTATTTCTATATCATTTCATCTTTTATTTAGTTGAAAAGATATATGATAAAATTTATTCATCGTTAATTTATTTAAAAATATTAAAATGTAGCAAAATTTATTTGCCACTAATCAATTGAAAAATACTAAATACCTGTTTATTTTTCATTTTTATCTTTGTGGTTAATTTATTTGTCTAATCAATTGTCTCCTTTTGCTTGTTGTATTTCAGATTATCATGGAAGGAGTTAGTTTTACTTATGTTTCTATCTTTTCAGCCTGCTTTACTAAATTTGTGAGATTTAAAATTATGATTCAAATTTATCTTAATATATTAATTTTTAATTAAATTTTTTGAAATTTTAAATTTTCATAAGTTGTATTTCTAAAAATACTATAAAATATATTGTTAGTCACTAAATTTTGAATGTTTAAAATAGTTGTAAATTGTATAAAAAATATTGTTAATCAAGTTATTATATTTTTTAAATATAAATTTGAAAATAAAATGATTTATTTTTAAATTTGAAGAGAGAAATATTTTTAAAATGGACTAAAAATGATACATTTAAATAGGGCATATTTGTTTTTTTTTTTTAATGGGGACCTTAGTTACGACATTGACCCTTTTGCATATTTGGGCCAGAAAAAGACCCTGTTCGAAAGCCCAAAATAACAATGTGGATTTGGTGGAAGTGATTCACCATCTTATTGCGGAAGGTGAAGCATAAGTTTCAATGGCTACAACTGTTCGTACTCTATGTGTTGAGCTGAAAAGGTTCACTCTGCCTTACTCCTCCAACTGGGTTTCGAAGACGAAAGTTTTGTGCTGCAAGATGTCCACCGAGTCACCTTCCTTGACTCACACCATCACACTGCCCAATAAACCCAGTGAGCCCATTCATATTGTTGCTGCTCCCGGGGTCTCCCATTCTGATTTCTGGTCATCTTATAATATCTTCTCTTCTTAAATTGCGTAATTTTGGACGTGAGAAAAACGTAGACATAATCAAATATCATCAAGTTCCTCTGTTTTCAAATTGAATAGAAACTAGAAGGATTCATTCGGTTAGGTGCTAGATTTTTTTGGTTCTCGTGAGAAACAAGTGTAAAAGAAGATCGACACACATATCTGTAGTTGTTGTTTGAGAGGGGTAACTTGTTTCGGTTAGTGTGTCTCGAGTCTGATAACATTTGGTACCTTAGGTTCTTTAGGTTTGGTTGTTCACGTTGCCCTCCTTGCAGGAATGCTGTTGAATCCTCTCTATTCAAGCAGTGGTTGCATAACTTGCAAACTGAGAATGGAATTCTAGCTGATGGCACCATGGCTCTGAGACAAGTTCTAGTTCAGGTAATAAAGTTATTGAGCTGAAAATTATGATGAATGATACTTTGTTCATGACGGAAGTTTTCTCTGCATTACTAGGGTGTTTGATCTGCATGACATTGGTTTACAACTTGTGACAATTTCTCATTTAACACGAAAGATTGGAAGCTAATATATATGGAAACAAACATCGTGCATACCTCAAAGTCTATAATGCATGGCAAGAAACTAAATTGATGCTGTTTGACTGTTTCTTTTGGGTAATCCATAGAAGACATTCATTTCTGAAAATATAGTTTTAAAGCTTTTTGTGCACTATCAAGAAGCATATGTGATCTGATATGAGGCTTTGAGTGTGGGTGGTGAGTGGTAATGATCTTGCCTCTGACGGTTGATTTTTGAAGGTCTCCTTCACTTTGGTGATGGATGGAAATAATGGAGGAGGAAGGAATGATGTACGTAACGAAACCTTCATGACACATTGGCAATAAAAAAATTGAGTATGCAACGGTTCAAGGAATGAGCGCAACTGGGCGAGTATATGCTCTATGACCGTACATGGGTTTCCTTGCCTAGCTTTTGTGGAGGAGCTGCATTGTCCAATTAGAAGTCTTACTCCTTGACCTATTAAGGCTGGGAGATGGCTGTAGTTTCCCCTTAGAACGTGTCTCTATTGAGAGAATAAATCTAGGGGCCATCTATCTCACATTAATTGGGAAGATGGGTTAGATCCTATTGGGTTTTGATGGTGCTGAGTCTTGGTTGGTGACCTAGTTCTGAACAATTTTTTTTTTTTATCATCTAAGGATTTGTTACGGGGAATTTAAGTAAAAGGATATTTACTTCGTATTCTTGGTTTATTCATATTTCATTATAATTAACAAAAATTCGATGCAATTGTTTTATATAAACAGGGAGTTGACATGTTTGGAAAGCGCATTGGGTTTCTTAAGTTTAAAGCTGACATTTTTCACAAGGAAACGGGAAAAAAGGTATGAGATGGTTTGCAAAAAAGCTTTTCAATATATATATATATATGTATATTTTGGAATTCAAGTGAAAATTGAAGTTACACATTGAATAGAAATGATAAAATTGAGTAATATATAAATGAGAATGAGCTACAAACCAAATGACTTAAGATTTAGAGTTTAAGGTAGTATTATATTATCTTATATTATTATCTTGTTTCCCATTTGTATATATCGACCTAATGTTGCTCCTGCATTACTATGAGCTATGAATATATTGAATAGTAGTACGCATGTCATCTTAACCTTCTCTATAAATATTATTTAAATAAATGTACTAAAATATCTTCGGGCAAGCCTAGAAGCAATTGTAAGGTTTTTGCTTTGTGAGCTGGAGGATATGGAATCATTCATCTACTGGAAATAGCCTCTACTTGCGTGGGTATAACTGTGTACCCCAGATCCAACTAGCTGTCCTTTTTGTTGAGCCACACCTAGCCATCTCATTATGCTTGGGCTTGTGAGATTCCCATTTGCTTGGAACAGCATCATATGTCCACACAAATCATGCGTTTGAAAAGACACAAGGGATTTGATATGCAGTAATCTCATGGCCATGTATCAAACATGGACATCCTCTTTGGGGATCTAAGATAATTAAGTCCTTGCACTTACCGACGTTGTAACAAGTATTTAACCAGTTTTTAATAAAGCAAACCATTATTAGATTCCAGGCATTGTATTTGCAAGAGGACCAGCTGTAGCAGTGCTGATACTCCTGGAATCAGAAGGTGAAACTTACGCTATTCTTACTGAACAGGTAGATGCTGGTGCCTTGCAGCTTATTTGTTTTTTGGTTAATTCGATTTATAACTGATTTTTTTATGTTATGACTATTCTTATGTTGGATATTGTTATTCATAAGGCAAGGGTTCCTGTTGGAAGAATTATTTTGGAATTGCCTGCTGGAATGCTGGATGATAACAAAGGTGATTTTGCTGGTACTGCAGTTCGTGAGGTCTATTTATCTCTCCCTCTCATCCACGTTTTTTTTTTTTTTTATACATAACCTTGCTGAAAATGCATGTTTTATGGTCTTTTTCACTTTGTTTGCCTGATATTTTTATTTGTCTTTTCTAGTAATGTAAATGTCTTAAATTTCACATGATTTCTTGTATTTATGACCTTGATAGGTTGAAGAAGAGATTGGTATCAAGTTAAATGCAGAAGACATGGTTGACCTCACTGCTTTCCTTGACTCTGCAACTGGATGCAGAGTTTTCCCCTCTGGGGTGTGTTTCTGAACCTTTTGCCTTTGGATCTTTCTGCTTTTTCAAATTTCTTGATCCTGCTTTGCAAGTTTTTGCATTAATTGTCATAGGAATATAGTTTAGTATCATATCGTTGTTGTTTTGTGTTAAAATGTTTCATTTAGCTATTAGCAGCATTTCAATTTCTGCTCATTTGAGGCTAATCTAATCTAACTATTAATTAATTAATAAACCTTGCACACAAGCCTTATACGGCTACATATTGAAAATAGTTTTAGTCCATAAAATTGTTGAAACTATCTCATCACTGCATTGCTTTATACATTTAGCTGACCGAGTTCATCTTTACTGCTTTTATCACTAAATCTAATTTTCACTTTTTTTTTTTTCTCTGTGACAAGGGAGGATGTGACGAAGAAATCAGTATTTTTCTGTACAGAGGGCGTGTTGATAAAGAGATAATTACACAACTACAGGGTAAAGAGACTGGCCTTCGGGAACATGGGGAGCTAATTAAGGTACGTGTAGTACCATACAAGAAACTTTGGCGCGTAACAGCGGATTGCCAAGTTCTGGTGGCTGTTGCACTGTTAGAAATGGCTATGAAAGAAGGGCTATTGCCTACTTTGTCTACCTAATTAGTTGTCAAAAACTTATTTTTGACGAGTCTAACTTTTTATCCCTGTTGTATAATCAAATAACAAGAAGACTTGATTATTATTGTTGCGCTTTGCCCTATTTGGAACAATAACGTGCCAAGACATTCTTAATTGCACCCATGCTGAATAGATGTGGCTACCAATGACATTTATATATGTACTCATGGGATGAATTAACAATCACATTGAGTACGATTGAGTTAATTGGTTGTTGTTTTTTTTACTATTTTTTATATTCTTCACATTGAGGAATTTGCTTCGGGGAAATAGACAATATGATTTTCGTCTTGGTCATTATTCCGTTTCTATTCTGATATTATATTTTGTTTTTGTTCAAAATTTCCTTTTTGAACAATAGTTTTTTTTTTTACCTAATTATTTTTCACCTTTAATCCTAGTCCCTCGGTAGCCTTGGTATTGGACTAGAGCCGTGCTTATGGTCTCTCTCTAATAAAAACAAGATTTTAGGCTATATTTTAATGATTTTTCTCATAATTAACCAATTTATCACGTGATTAATCCAACAACAGGTCGTCACACGACTGTGGCGAGCTATGTGGACATTACACAGTCCCTAACCTAAATAATAAACATTAAGGTTTTGAGTGTTGTCATGTCTGTTGGCATTTTGATGGTATTAATTATTACGTATACCGGCTGCTGGTATATGCACTTGTCGCGTTTTTCTACCTTCTCATCTCATATTATTCATATGTTCCATTTCTTTTGCATCTCCATTTCACCCCTTGTTGCGTTTTAGTCTTGCTTTTGACTAGAGGGAGGAACTGGACTTAATATTATGGATGAATACATAGAAAGAAAAACTAGAATTAAAGGCAAAAAATAATTAGATAAAAAAACTATTGTTTAAGAGAAAATTTGAACAATAACATTTAAACTTAAATTTTAAAATACTAATTATTTTTTCATCTATATTTCTTTCTTTCTAATATTTTAAAATATGTATGCTTCTTTCTTTCTAATATTATATAAATTGTCATCTCATTTATTTTTCTTAATCTTTCCAATTAGATTAGTATAATTTTCTTAGCTTTTTTAATCTCTTTTAACTAGTTTGACAAGCAGAAAAGTTAATAATTTGTTTCTTTATCTTTTTATAAATATTAAGCGTTCATTTTAGTATCATTTATTATTATTTTTAGGTTGTAATTTTGTGATATCCTTTTCTAAATTTCACTATTTTTATTTATATCAAATTTTATATTAATTAAATAATTATATTTCATAATAGCGACAGTTTCAAAAATTAATAGGCCAAATTTTTATTACTTTCTACTAATTTAATAAAATTTAACTTATTAAATATAAATTATATATTTTATATTTATTTTTAAAATAAAAAATTGAAAGTTTAAAAATAATGTTGATATATATAATTGAAGGTTTAAAGATAATATTTATTATTATGTTATGATATATTCATATGAAAAAAAAATATTTGTACATATTTAATTCAAATATAATAAATTAAAAATAATACTTAGTCAATAAATATGATTTGAAAATTATAAAATTATAAAAATTTATTTATATATAAAAATAATATTAAAATTTATTTATATATAAAAATAATATTAAAATTTATTTATTTTTATAATAACACTTGAAAAGGTAAGAAAAAACTAGGCCGAGAATCTGGGGGCAAAATCCGGTTCCCATTCTCTTTCAATCGAATTCCAGGTGGTGAAACATTTCCCAAGTTCTTACCAATAGGAAGGGTAAAGACTTTAAGACGTCAAACCTCTGAATAAATGCAGAGAAATCCTTTTTCTTGTGAGTTGAGGAATTTCACTCATTTTTCCTGAGTTTCATACTGTATTCCACAGTCATATTTTCTAATTAGAGAATCGCCAATAAAATATGTTGTGTATATTTGGGTAGTTCTTATATCAAATAATTAAACAATAAATTATGTTAAAATACATGCAACCCATATACAATAGTTACTAAACTATTAACAATTTTTTAACTACATTATTTGACTGTTAGAAGATAGGAGCCAGGTGATTTTGAGCCAAGCACTAAACTATCATTTAACAGAACATGTGCCTTATTCCACCATTTTTTCAAATGTCGAATAATTAGTAAAATGTCTAAAATAACGCAATAATTTATGCCTTGTTAAAAATTGAAGAGATTTGTCAAATTAACAACTATCGTAGCCAAAAAAAATAAGATGACGAGTCTGGTGAAGAAATTCACTGTAAATTAAAGCAGATGAATTAGTTTCCTAAAGGAGTCACAGTCCTCAAAGTAAGATAGAGCTGTGACGGGGCGACAAGATAAATACATAACAATGCTTTGCTTTCAGTGAATTACTTTATCAGACCTTGCTGGAAACAAAATCTTTATCAGTGGCCTCCCATATGGTGGTGCCATCACACGTACAGAGTCTTTTATAGTTCTCACCCACTCCAGCACTTCTGGCAATTACCGCGGCAGTAATACCATGTTCCGATTTATCTTCAGATGCATATACCACTACAGATCGTCCAATAAGATCAGCCACCCTCAGCTTTTCTTTGACCCCAGTGTAGAAGGCATCACCCTTTTCATTAGCTTCTAGTGTTCCCAGGTCGCCAAGTGGCTGAAAATCCAATCAAGTAGGCCTCGTTATGTTTGTATTGAAATCTAAAATTTGAAAATAATGAGAGAAAAACAGTCAGTCTCAATCAACAGAATGTCCTCCTACGAACTTATTAGACACCATGATGCATCTCTACACTTTCCGCCGATGAAAAAATTTACTATCCTAACTGTTTTGTAATAGTATATACATCAGTCATCAATCCTTAAAACAAAGATTTAGTTATTCATTTGGTCCTTACATTTATTCACACTTTTCGTTTTAATTTCTATAATTCAAAACTCTACGTTATAATTACCATATGAGAAAATTGTTTATGTTTCAGTCCCTTCCGTTACTACCAAGTGACTTTGTCAGGTTTTCTAAAACTGCGACAAAAATTAATCTGGCAAAGTAAATTTACATAAATTTTCTGAACCACTAGAAATCTATTACAATTAATTGTTTTTGCAGTGGTTTTAAACTAATTTTGTGTCTGCTTCAATTATGCGGCAGATTTAGAGAACCTAAAGCTAACAGATTTACTTCATGGGTGGGACTAAAACATAAAACATTTGCTTGTATAGAAACTAAAATACATCGTTTCCAAAGTATGGGCAAGTGTATGAACCGAATGAGTAATTAAAACCTAGAAGAAATATGTTTTAAACCATGTCACAAAACAGAAATATAAAGGTATGAGGAAAATCAAACCTTTTCGGTGTTTTCCTCATTTATCGGATTGAATATTTTACCAGTGCTTGCTGCACCTCTAGTCAAATCTCCAAATTCATTAATGGACCAACTATGCTTTCCTGGTGACAGCCCACTAAAATTGGCCTCAATCCTAGCCAGCTCCATATTTACTTGAGCTAGGCGAACTACACCAAAAACATCTGGACCTTTGAATTCCGAAACAGCAGCAGATATCAAGAAATCTGTAAAGCAAAAGAAAGATTTAACTAAATAAGCAAAACAGATGAAACCATGAAGACAGAAGTAAAAAAACATATCTGACAATCATATTAATCGAATGAATCCTTAAACACAAGTGCCATATTGTGTAATAAATGCAGTAACAAGATAATGAATAGAAGGAGCAGGAGACACCATACGACAAGACTAAAAGTATTTAATTGAAAAATAAAATGATAAAACCTCAAGTATCTACTGAAGTCTAAGCTAAGCAAAAACAAGGTTATTCTAAAATTAAGGTTGATAAAGAGAATGTAAAAAGAAGTTGCTACAAATAGGGGAGAAACAGGGAGAGTGTGATAGATAAATAGAAAAAAAAACTTAGTAAACCCATGAAATCAATACCATTATACCTCTTCTTGCTCAAGAAAATACTACAGTTGTTTACAACCTATTTCTGCCTAACAAATTATGCTGCCTGATGTGTCAACATCCAGGAGTTTCCTTCATTCTTTACTGAAATATTGCTGGTATATGTATTACAAAAGCACATGATAGTTCATATTTCACAATTGAAAGTTATTTGGAGACTAAAAAAAAAACACAATCAACGAATTGGGGGTGGGGACTAACTCAAAAGACTATGAGACATTGATGGAAGCGTTTTTTGAGTAGGGGTAGGAGATTGTGAACCCTCATAAATTGGTTTTTAAAAAAATAGTTGAGATAACTGCTCCATCGCTCCAACTCTGTTTTGCATTGCCACGAGACTAATTGGCTCGGACTCAATAGCACATTGATGCTGAAATTCACATTCCTGGTACTTCTTCTGCTTGCTGAGGAACATTCAGAAAGGAAAGAAACTAAAAAGCAATGATTGATGGAGGAAACAAATGATAAAAAGGAAGCAACAGTAGGCCCAAGAAGGGAAGAATTAAATCGGCATCTGATTTGAGAACGGGGAAGGGTTATTCAGCCAGTGGCATGCTTTGGTTGAAACATCAATTTTGAAGTGTCGCCATCAAAGTAATGAAAATGCCTGCCACTTGATCCAACAGTCTTTCCCTCTCCATGCAAAAGGGCTTGTCTTTGGCCAGTATCATATTAAGTGGTAAAAAATTGATATAATTATGCTTTGAATTGTTATGAAATCACTTAACCTATATTAATTTTAATCTATTTTTCTTCCAATATAGGATGAATTCGAGAATACCTTGATACAAGAGTAATGAGCATAATTGTCAACATAACTGGAGCAAAATTGAAAGGAGGAAGAAAATTTTCAGCATGGAAGTTGCTCAAACGAGATAGACTCTTGCTTGAGCGAAGATTAGTTAAAACTCTCTGGAAGTCAGTCGCTCAAGCACCAGGAATTTCACTTGAGCAAATGTTAGTTATTCTTCTCTGGAGCTCACTCGCTCAAGCGAGCAATTTCTCACTTGAGCAAAAATAGGGAACTTTCGCTTGAGCGAGCGTTGTCGTTTGAGCGAAAGACGCAAGACCCAATTTTTCCTATAAAAAGATAAGATGTGTTTTGAGAAAAGTAAACAGTTTTGGGGAGAAGAGGTGCGACTATCGCTAGGGTTTCGTTCAATCTTCATCAATTTTTCACTTCTTTCACATTTGGAACATTGTAATGGTCACCATGAGTGGCTAACTTCATTCTCTTGGGATTTGGTGCACTTCCTTTTAACTCTTTTGTATCATGGTAATATTTTGCGATATGGTGATATTTTGAGATATTAATCTATGTTTTAATGTTGTTATTCTTATTTTTTGTGCTTTGGAATGATTTATTCTTGATGTTTGAGGTATGATTGAAAAATATATCTTGAACCCTAGATCCCGATAAGAATATTTGTTACGTTAATTGCCAAGATTAAAATGAATGTATCAATTGCTTAACACCCTAACCCTAATGCTGGGAAATCTCTTAATTGTGTGCGAAATCAACATTTATTAGGTTTTCTTATGAATTTAATGTGTGAGAAATCAACATGGATGAATTACGCAGGTGACATCAACATTATTAGGTTAATTGATGTTCTTAATTAACATAGTCATTGCAAAAGAGGGATAAGAAAGGAAGTTAATCCTAAGTGCCTTTAATTTATCCTTTTTAAACAATTTACAGTTCTTGTTATTTAATTTCAATTCAACTCTTTATACAAAATCCACTTTGTTTAATCTACTTAGTAAGCATATAATTGGGAATTTCCATTGAAACCGTTCTTCGTAGGATCGACTTTTATTTAATCGAAATACTATATTGCAATTGATAATTTTGGTATGCTTGCCAATAATTCAACGTACCACAATCAAATTGGGTGTCGGGGAGCTCACTCTAGCTTTATTGAGACCGGAAAAAGAAGATTTTGAGGTATAATGCAGACAACATGGCTCCCTCATTCATGGTTGCAAGCTATTGGAGTTGAGCCAGCTCAAGGTCCCAAGGGAGAATGAACTGTATTTCACGCTGGTGAACTCCTTATTTCCAAATATGGAGAAAGTGTTGGGTTCAGTTCCGTAGAGGAAAAAATTGATAAATCAAGATTGAATGGATGAAGAGGGGAGGTCTAAATTGGAAAAGAGAGAAAGAATAAGCAAAAATGAGAAAAAAATCTGAACTGTCAATTTTAAAATAAATATATCTTAATATTCAAAAATTGTTTCCACATTGAGAGACATTCTCAAGTCTCCCATCCCTGTCTCAACCCAGTACGTATATCTAGTCTTATACCTATAGAAACAAGGTCATTGAATCCTTGCAATAGAAGAGAATATAACAAATGTATCAAGAATCAATCCTTAGCAGTAAATTATTCAAAAATGTTGAAAATAAGAGCTAAAGCTTCTAATTTTGACTCTTTGTTTGTTTATTGTAGAACAGAATTGGAGCAAAAAAGTAAAGACAATGTGAGAGGAACTCAAGGTTTGATGAGAAAGCAAAATGTATGAGCAATGCCTTTGATGTGAACAAGGGCTTCAATATGAGACAATTGTTGTTTGGTTCTAAATGTATCAACATCCATTTGACCATGGAAAAACAGCCTAATCTCCTTGACTGAAATTAATCAAATCTAAATGATCATGTACTTAAGGAATATCGTATTAGGTGTAGAGGTTGTCTGCCTTCATATTTTATGAATTTTCAAAGAAAAGGAACTTACTTCTCTCTTTGTGACCGCGAAAGAAGATGTAGGGAAATGAACTATTGTGACAAGGATGTAATTTAAAGGAGCGTACAAAATCAAGTTTTAAGAGGTGACAGTAACCACACTAAACATCCCACTTCATTATTCTCAGACTCATTCCTCCAAATTAACAAATAAAAAGTAAACCCCTAACCTTCATTTATGCAGATCTTACAATCTCATGTAAGTTGATTAACATAGAAAAGGTCATATTCATAATGTCCATTCGTTTTAGATTTTGATAAAGTTGACTTTGACATAAATTCTACATTAAAATGATTGGGATGTGTCCAAGATAATCTCACTCACAATTTTTACTTTAAAACAAGTGCCAGTGTGTGAAATTGGTTTTGGGTGCTAATAAAGCATGCATAGTCATTAAGGGAAAATTAGCATTGCAAAATTTACAAACCAAAATCATGACAAAGCGAGAAATTGACTAGCAAACCTTCAGGCATTCCTTGTCCAATTAACCGGGCTTTTCTACCAGTCTGCTCCAAGGCTTCAGTCATGGTCTTAACTGGCGTTGAACCAAGAATCCTTACAACCTGATTGCTCAAGTCCACCTCTACGTCCTTAACTCCTGAAAAAAAGTGCAAGGACCCAAACAACATGTATTAAGAAATGTATGGCGTGCTCATAACCACTAGAATTGTGAATTGATCCAATTTAATTTCAATACATCAACTAAAAATAAATTTGTTCTGGTCTACGGTTCCTCTTCTAAGGTCAGAGTTTACCTAGTCTACAACCTATGGGAATATCTTCCTCTTCTTAAAGTTCCCTTAGTATCATCATTGGAAAGTCTGTGTGTTTTCATGATCTTCTCAATAATCTTGGTTAGAAGATTAAGTCCTGATTTGATTCCCCCAATCACTGAGCCAGATTGAGAGACTATATTATAAAGGTCACGAGAACTAATCTTAATAAGATACAACGGGAGTAGGCTTGGACATCGGTAACTACTACGGGTAATGCAACATATACCTCAAATTCTGACAGTTTATCTTTGATCGGTCGGAGGTTAAAAAATCCAATTACATTCATTCATTTCATTCATTCATTCATCCAAACACGTTGAAAGCAGAAAATAAACGACACAAGCTGGTCCAAGTACTTCACCAAACACTTACCATTAATCTCGTGCAACTTATTTTTGACAGCATGAACACAACCTTCGCATTTCATATCCACCATGTACTCCGTCTGACAGCACAAAAAAATAAAAAATTAGGATCCAACTAAGAATTTGATTTAACCGACACAAATAGTGAAGAGAGAGAGAGAGAGAGCATAAAACTGACCAGTAAGTCGGGCAAGACGGCATGAGGCTGCGAGAGAAAAGAATGGAAGTATTAGATTAGAGGGAAATTAAGTAATCAGAAGAAAAACATGAGAGAAAAGAACGAGGAACCTGAGAAGAGTGTTTGTGGTCCATGAGGAGAACAGAGGGAGAGGTGGCAAATGTTTTAAGAAGGCCAAATCTGTCGGGGGATTTGGGAGATTGGGAAAAGCGAGGGAAAGAAGAAGACGGAGAAGATGAAAGAGAAGAGAAGGCTAAGGCTGCAGGAATAGCTGCTACAGCAGTTGCTGTTGTTGCTACGGACCTCAGGAATGCCATTTTCCTCCAATTATTTCTTCTTTATTTATTATACGACTCCACTTACCTCACAAAACAAAATGCATTGCTACCTCTCTGTCTTCAATGCTACTTTCTTCTAGATCGATCCACGCTTCAACCCTTTCATTTTATTTTATTTTTTCTGCTCTTCATTTATCCACCTTCCACTTGTTTTCGCTAATTAGTGATTCCTCATCCCAATTCATTTGGATTTTGTTCCACTGCTTTTCTTTTTCGGTGCATGAAAATTGGCTCAAAGCGACCACAACATTTAAGGCCCAAACACACTGTCCAACATGTTCGCTTTATCTTCTTCTTTTTCATCAAAATTATACATACAATCAATTTACTAACAACGTACCTAAAAATATCTTCTCATGTAATTAATATTTTAATCAAACCAGTATTTCCTCTTTCAAAGTATATAACATTGAAAATTAGATTATATAAAATAAGACAAATATTAATTTTCATTATATTTAATAAATTTATTAATCTTATTTCGCATATTTTTATAATTTTAATATTTTTTTCATCCAAAATCATTTTTTATATTTTATCATTTTCTTTATTTATAATAAATATAATTAAAAATATATATATAATTATACAATCTTAAAATTTGTAAATCATATGTATTTAGAAACAATTTTTTTTCTCAAACCCTTTTAAAAAAAAACGAGTATAATGTAGAAGGACAAAAAAATTGAGAGAAATCAAATTAAAAAGAAATTGTGCCTTTTCCTATCTTAAAGTTATTATTTTTATATCTTTCTAAATACTTTGTATAAGATATGTCTAATAGAATTTGTTGAAGTGTCTTACCGATGTTAGATTTATTAGTCAAATTATAATTAAATCAAATTAAATACAATAATATTAATAATTAAATTATATAAAATATATTAAAAAATTTAATATCATAATTTAATAATATTAAAAAGTTAAAAATAATACATTTTTAAAGTTTTTAAAATTCAATAATTTAGTAATTATAATTTGAGCTTTTGAAGATAATATTTTAATTTTATCACAGTATATAATTGACAAAATATTGTTTAATATTAATACTTATATTCAACTTTTATAATTGTTAATATACTAGTTTTTGGTTTAATTTCTTTTATAACTTGATTATTGATAAAAAAAGCACATTTTTTAGATCAATTTATCAAATAATGCAATTTATTTTATTTATATTTAAAATGGATTTTTTTTTATTTAGATTTGAGTAAATCGTTTTTTATATATACTTCACCACAATCATATATGAAAATATGACTTTAGTTGAAGTCGTATATGAATTCACGATTTTTTTCATGTGATATTTTTTTTTTAAAGTTAAGTTCTAATTAACAACTTTAGTATAACTTTTTTATGCTAAAATCTTTAATTGATTTGTAATTTTAGTTTAATTTCTTTTATATTAAAATTGTTAATTAATTGACAACTTTAATTTAAATTTTTTTATATTGAAATTGTCATGATTTTATGACTTTAATTTAAATTAAATTTTGTTATGTTGAAATTATCCATTAATAAAATAAATAATTAGTTATTATTTAGATGTCTATAATATTAAATAAGTTTTAAATATATTAATTTGTTAAAAAGAAAATATGAGTTAATAAAAATATACATTATATATATATAATTATATATATATATATATATAAAAGAAAATAAAATTTTACATTATTAAAACGGACAATTATCATGATAAAAGGATTTTTATTCCAAAAATAACATTTTTTATTTAAAATAAATTCATCCATTACAAACCATTTTTACTCTAACATATTAATATTTTATTTTCAACAATTTAATATATTTAAAATTATTTAATATTAGTAACATCTAAATAATAATAATTTATTTATTTTTTATTCTAATAAATATTAAAATCAAACTTTTATTAATTAAAAAAATAATTTAAAATATATGAATTAAAGTCATTGGCGACTTTAATATTAACAAAGAAAAAATTAACTAAAATTGTCATTTAAAAGATAACTTTAATAAACAAAATCCTTTTGAAACCGTGTATTCAAATACAAGTTAAAAGTAATGAGATATGAAGAAATTATACACGTATATATGACTTTTATTAAAAAAAAAAAACTAAAATTATCTTTCAGTACACGACTTATTTATATAAAATAATATCTAAATGCACTAAATGAGAAATTGGCCAATTTTTTTATATGTTGTAATAAATTGATGACATATTAATATCGTACAATAAAGTGAAAAATCATTATATATATATATATATATATATATATATATATATATATATATATACAACACATTAGTATCAATTTACAATAACTTATTAATAGTTTTTAATCATATACTTATATAACTTACAATTTACAATAATTTCAAATTATTTATAAAAATAATATAAAGAAATTATACACTTATATAACTTTTTTAACATAATTGGCCACCTTATTTATCACGGCCCTCGTCCATCGCACCCAAACGATAACCTTTTAATAAGGATCAAATAAAAAATATGGTATGTTTATAAGAATCAAATAAAAATATATAAAAAAGTAAGTGTGATAAGAATTAATTCGTTGACAGTGTAAGTCTATAAAAACAAAGTTAACATGTTTTTATAACAAAAATAAAGTAGAAAAATATTAATATAAAAGATAAACTACTATATGTTTAGTGTTTCATTAACGTCCCTGCATGTGATTTTATCACCCTTGATGCATCAATTTATTAAGAATTAAGAGTTTATACCCACAATAAAGAGTCCACACACGAATTAAGAACTCTCTAATGTTTACTATGGTTTATAACATCAATTTATTGAGCCCACACGAGTGACACACCTACTTCGTGCACTAGCATTTTTACTTGTTGTATTTCTTAGCTCATTTTTATTCTTAAAGAGACACATATTGATTCGGTACTAACTGAGTAGATGTAAGAAAACCGGAGAACATGTGCCATGATGATAATAATAATAATAACAATCCACTTTATATATATGGTGCAACCAAAAGCACCACAAATAAGCTAACAACTAAATTTTGACAAGAAGAATGAATGTCCATTCCGTAAATTTTTACTCAATTGAATCATAGGTTTCTAGAGAGAGAGAGAATAAGAAACAAGAAAATACAATGAAATGACCGAACAGTGGAGTGAAGAAATAGTACAACGATAACTTCAACGTAGCAGAGCAGCTCCGAAGGCCAAAATGGCAACTTAATTAACCAGCATAGATACCCAAAACAAGAGGAGGAAAGAAATCCCAGTGAATGTGACTTTGGCTGCTCCTCCTTTGTCACCTCCAGGAGTGGCTGCAAGGTTAAAATTGAATGTTTATGAAGGAAGAAGAGAAAGTGTACTTTACACAAGTTTGAAATTTTAACTATTCAGTTCAGATGTGTACTTTAACTACTTGGAAATTTATTACAGATGTAGCTCACGCGCAAGTTAACTTGATGCATTACCATTTTGTGGTTATCAATTTTTTTCCAAGGAAGGCTCAAGCCATGATGGGCCTCGTGAAAGAGTGGGTGAGAAGGAACAAGGGAAAAAAACACAAAATGAGAAAACGAAATTTCCTATTAAGTACGCTTTATGTTTGTGACTTAAATTAAAGTTGACCAACGGGTACTATTACTACACTCTCGGTTCCCTCTTCCATTATCTTTCCCATTTCTCATAATAGATATGCGGAAAGAGAACGGAGAAAACATTATTATAAAAAGCAAGATATACTAAAATAAGAATACGCGTCATTTATATAAAGAAAAATAATCAAAATTTGCTTCAATAAAATAACAAAAAACAACGACGTGGGGTTTGCATTTTGACATTTTAATTTGGAATATTGAACGGTTGTACTATTTCCAAATTCATATATGACTATCTCATTTAAATTAAATTTTAATCATGTTTACCAATTCAAAATTAACTTTACCAAATTAATTGTACTAAATTCAAAAAAACTAAACTCAGTGATTGATTAGCGGGTTTTGTCCAATATGAACAAATTCAGAGCGGCGGAGCAGCATGTATTATTTTTCTCTCCCTTCTTTTCTGGAAAGGACAAATCTCATTGGAAGTTTATTTTTTCCTACTCAGAAAATGATATTTTTAATTTAACGAAGAAAGTATACCATAAGAATTTTATTCTGAAATTTAACCGTAAAAAAACCTTATTTTAAACTATATTTCTTCGAAAAATCATTAAAATTAATTAAAAAATAATCTGAAAAATAATAAAACATTCTTCAGTCAGATTACCGGATACGTTATATTCACGAAATTTTGGAAGGCTATCACATCTCTTGGTATTATCACTCCATAAACTAAGCACTTTAAAATAAATTTTGAAAGACGGTTTTTTACCTGGCGGTGTCCTTGAAGTAGGAGATTGAGCAGTCCCTGAAAATTAGGAAGAAAAAAAAAAAGAACTAAATTAGTACTATAATAAACCATAATTATTGCATTCACATGAAAAGAAACCCAATCACCCATCAAAATGTGAACAGAAACTTTGCACAGTACATAAATCTCCCGACGACCTTTTCCCCCTTTTAAAGACCTAAAAGAAATGGCTCAATTTGTCCAAAATCCATCAAATTTGCAGGAAGATTGGAATCTAGTAATACAATAAACGCGCACCAGGAAAAGAAAATTTAAGTGGAGAGTAAAATTCACCAGCTAAAACATAGTAAAACATTTTAATAACATACTAGGTTAAATACGTGTATCAAAGCATGAAATTGAATTGAATTTTTTGATCGGAGTCTCAGAAAAGCCATAGAACAAATTATTGTGTATTTATTTGGTAGTTATAATATGGTGAGAAAAATATATATATTTACCGTTGTTGCAGTTGGTGAGATCACTTTGGACACCGCAGCGGCGACTGAGAGCGAGAGCGTTATCGACAGAGATATTGAAAGTTTGAAGCAAGCCAGGGGTGTAGAAAAGGTTGCAGAGGCAAGTGAGTTCGGTTTCGACGGTTCGTTTTAGTGGGTCGCAGCAAGAACTGGGTGGGGTGGTGGTGCCGTTCAGGTAATCCATGCATGGAATCAGCTCTTGGGCGCAATTCGCGGTATTTCCAGATTGTGCCTCTGCCAAACTCATACTCAAGGCCAAAACCACCACCAACGACAGCAAACATTTGCAATCCATTTTGTCTTGTTTTTTTCCCACCCCAACGATTGATCCTGTCTTCGGGAAAATTTGATTTCAGTGCCAATGGAGTATGGATCCCCTTTTCTCCTCTCTCTCTCTCTCTCTCTCTCTCTCTCTCTCTCCTGCAAAATGGTTCTGGCTTGGGTTGTTTTGTTAGGTGAGAAGTGCGGTTCTTTCCCTGTTTAATAGCCCCTGTTGTTGCCTCGCTGGCACGATGACGTACAATGTGATGAATTAATGATTAATGTTTCTTCTCCAATACATTATTAAGAAATGGTTTCGATTCTAAAATTTTTATGAAGAGTTGAAATGTAACGGAGCTGTGAGAAATTATTAATGATGTGAATTACGGCATACTTTATATGCGTGACAATTCCACGAACATTCGTTATACGCGTCACTTCATCCTATCATTATAAAAATTAGTAAAGATATTTTTCAGGGTGGTAGAAAAAGTTGCAAACAAATGTGATTTTATAGAGGTTTTGATTTTTTTTTTTAATCTCTATCTTTTATATCGTCTTTGGAATTCACGTTTTTTATAATAGGTCCTTAATACATCAGTAAATAATACTGTTACATCAATAAAATGTTACGTCGTCAAAAGAATAAAATAAATTGTATAATTTCTTAGATTTACATGTCAGATTTTAAGGTTTGACCTAATATGTTCTAAGATTTGACTAGTCTATTTAAAAGATTAGTATTAATCAAAGTTCATAAGATTAGATTGATTAAATCTTCTGTGCATATTTTAATAATTATTAATTATTAATAAAAAATAAATATTTCACTCATAGTCTTGTAAACTAAGTTAGATTTATAGATAATAAATTCAAACTTAAAAAATACATAACAAATGTTAGATAACCATTGACTTTTTTAAAACTTTTCATAAAGGTAGTTTATTTAAGCAAATGTAGTTAAGTGGAAGGTAATAATACAGTTTAAATGTTATAATTTATTTGGATAATAATGTTCTACAGATGATACCATAAACCAATATAAAAAATCGATTATATGAATTGTAAAGTAAACCAATATAAACATCTGCATTCTAAAAAAGGTGCAATATAAGACATTTGTTACCCCTGCAATTATTAATCGATAGTGTTAATTTCAATAAAAAAAATTTGTTTGTTTTATACTTAATTACTCATTTTACAATTCTAGACAGATTTTTTTATAATTTTTCTTTTAAAACGCATTTAGATTAAACTGAAGAGTTTGCATAACTTAGTCGTCTAAATGAGTTAGTTTAGCAGGAGGCACAGGTAATTGTATTTTTTTTTTAACATATTAGGGATAAAAAAAACTATTAATATTTATTAAAATAAAGACTATATCATAATTATTAATTATGTTGAAGAAGACATTGAAGAATATGGTGAAAACAACTAATCAACGACACAGTACAGCACGATCATGAGCCATAATATAGGAATGAGTTGACTAGACTTACTTCTTCATATTCACATAGCTATTTTATGTGCAAATTTATTATTTTAGAAAAATGAAAGTTTTATATCTTTTAACTTATATATTCATTAGTTTATATTATGAAGGAATCAATTATATTTTTTTTTCTATAAATTTTGATTAGAAATAAAAGAAGAAGAAGCAATGAGTGATAAAATAATGTAATCGAATTATACAACCAAAAATATAAGTTAATCTTTGAATCTGATCATGTTGTAAAGTTCCAAACAAGCGAGGTGATTACTAAATTGGAAATTGGTCCAAATGTGATTGAACAGGAAATTTCTTATTCGTACATTTTAGTTTTTTCCTAGCTGTCATTCAACAATGATAATTTGAACCCTTGTCATCTTGACCAATAGTAATTGAATAAGATAATAAATGATTCCAGAAGGCCTGAGATGTTGAAATCAAATTAAAATTATACAAATCCATTAAAAATGATTAACTTCCACATCAAGACAGGGTCTATTATTCTTATGGCTAGGAGAGGGGGACGTTTCTTCACAAATAGTCATGTTGCAAAGGTCTTAATATTAAACATAGGCAGGTATTGATTGAAATATTAGACAAGAAAAAATCTGGTCTTGTAGTCTTACTTTACAATGTGAACATTATTCAAAGCTTTGTTACGATCAATGAAAATTTACCATTGCAGTCTTGCTCAAAGCCATGATACGTGGAAATAAAACTAGAAAATTATATAATTCCGTATTAAATGAAATTCCACACCGCTATCTTTCACCAGAACCTGTTTATTTATTGTTCTTTGGCAGCTTGCAAACGGCCAGAGGGACATTTCATCACAAATCAACCAAGAAAAAAAATGAGAAACCAGAAAAGTACAAACATAAATATCAGACAGAATAGAAAATATTAACAGTTGTTTAGGGAATAAAATTATGAGGAGAGGTGGTGTGAACCCAAGACAAAAGAAAATAAGAAACAAAAAAATAGTGAAGCGCTTTGCATTGACTAGCACGTTTACTTGTTAAACAGCAATTAGGTCGCATTCACCTCACGCGCAAAACTCTCGTCTCAGGTTTACAGCGTTCAACGGTCAATAGGGGATGCTGCAGTGGCGGCACGTCACTCGCTAGCGTCCAACCGTCCAATTTCAGCTTCTGCTTCCAAACTGAACCCAACATGCAACTTACAAAATTTCGTATCAATTTATATTTATTTATTATTTTCAAAGTTTTAATGAAAATTAATCATTTTATATAAAGTATAATTAAATATTATCAGACTTGCTTCCCTTTCGTTGTCACATTAAGTGTGTTGTAAAATATTTACATTGCTGCGAATTAAAAAATTCCTCACTTTTCAAAAAGATAATCTTCTAATTAAATTCAACGACTTTTATTAATATTACATTTCTATAATATTTTGAATATTTGAGTTATATATTTCAGTTTTTATGATGAATATAATTTACATTCGATGTACGTTTATTTTTTATACTCAAATTGTTTTGGATAATTTTATTAAGACTAGTATAAAGAGTTTCAAGATTTAGAAAAAAAAAATTAAAAAAATTAAAAAAATTAAAAAAGGCCTATTACCTAGATAAAAATCCGTAGATAAATTTTACATTACCTACGGTGAATAATTCCGTAGGTAAATTATATTAAACTAAGAAAATTGTCACTAGCAAGAATTGAACCCAAGTACCTTAAAGTTAAAAATTGATACTCCAACCACTAAACTATTAGGATATTCTAATAATAATTTACAACTAAATTATACTTATATTTATTCGTTTAAATATATAAATACATAAATACATAAATACATAAATACATAAATACATAAATACATAAATACATAAATAGATAAATATATAAATACATAAATATATAAATACATAAATACATAAATACATAAATATATAAATATATAAATATAAATATATAACTATAAATATAAATATAAATATATAAATATATAAATATATAAATATATAAATATAAATATATAAATACAAATATATAAATATATAAATATATCAAAATATAAATATATTTTATATTTATATATTTTTTTTATATTTATATATTTACACGGATAAATATAAATATAATTTATTTGTAAATTATTATCAAAATATCCTAATAGCTTAGTGGTTGGAGTATCGGCCTCCAACTCCGAGTACTCGGGTTCGAACCCCGCCAATGACAATTTCCTTAATCTAATAATAATTTAAAGTTCAGAAAATATAATAAATAATAAAAATATAATATAAAGTGGAGGGGGTCCTAGGTAATAATAAAAAATAAGGGAGGGGGTTGTAATAAATAAAAATATTTGGGTTTGAACCCCGCTAATGACAATTCCCTTAATCTAATAATAATTCAAAGTTCGAAAATATAATAAATAATAAAAATATAATATAAAGTGGAGGGGTTGTAATAAATGAAAATATTTTGTTTAGGTGAGTGCATTACCTACGGATTTTACCCGTAGATAATAAGCATTTTTTTTGTAGTGTGGATTGCATGATAACAGGAATCTAAATGGATATGATAATTGATGTGTAATGATAAAAACTTTTTTTTTTTTTAAGAAGTTTTGGACATAGTTTAGAATTGATATGAGTATATTCTATTGAAACATAGTGTGCGATATTTTAAAAGAAAAAAAAATGATTACAAAGTTATGTTTTTCATTTACCAGTGTAAATGAAAGCAATTTTGAGAAGATTTTGCTGGCAAACACAGTGAAAGAAACATGAGATATACTGATGCATAATTACCCTGACGGAGAGAGGTTGAAGGTGGTGTAACTTAAAACCTTGCGTCGTCAGTATGAGTTATTGCAAATGGGGACGTAAAAAACTATTTAAGAATACTTTTACAAGATTGTTATCGATCACAAACTTGATAAAGTCATGTGGTAAAAGTTTGAAAGAATGTGCAGTGGTGGACAAAGTGTTGAGAACCCTTAATGCTAGATTCGACATAATTTTTGTAGCTATTGAAGAGTCTAAGGATCTTAATTTGTTGAAACTTGATAAACTACAAACGTTATTGGAGGCTCACAAACAACAGTTACGTAAAAGAGTATAATGATGAGAATCAAGGAAAATCGAACAAGAGAGGTCGAGAAAGAGGATGATGTAGAAATAATGGTGGAAAGGACTCAGAAAGGCAACATGAGAACTCTTCACAATCGAGAAGTGAAACTGGAAGAAACTCAAAATAGAGAGGTAGTCGACTTGGTTATGGTGTTGGTAGATGAATGTACAATGTTACAATTATTACAAGTATGACCATTATGTTGTTGACTATTGGAGCAAAGAAGAAGAAGTGAATGTTACACAAAAAAAAGACTTGAAAGATGAAGTGTTGTTAATGGTAACCACGACAAAATCAGTGGAGACCTTCGGTGAATCTTGGTATTTGGATATTGGTTGTTTGAATAACATGTCATTTTATAATTTGTCGATCTAGATAAAAATGTGAAATCGAAGGTGAAATTTATAAATAATTTGATAGTGAAATGTGAAGGGAAAGGAAGAATAATTATCAAAAGAAGATATGACAAATTTGTAATAATTTCGAATGTGCTTTATGTTCCATCCATAAAGCATAATTTGTTGAGTATTGATCAACTTCTTCAGAAAGGACATTTAATCGATTAGAAATTAAGGGAACAAATGTTGAAAATCCTCAATAAGAATGAGATACCAATTTTGAAGGCACTTTTAAGTAAGAACAAAGCTTTTTTCAAAGTTTTTTGAGTTGAAATTCCAATATTGAATAACTTGTGTTTTGCAGCAACAGTTTCTGATGTCAATTGGTTGTGACATTTAAGATATGGTCATCTTGGCTTCGATAGTTTGAGCCAACTTACAAAGAAGTAGATGATGATTGGACTGCCTCGAGTCCAAAAATGTAAAGACAAATGTGAAAGTTGTATGACAGGGAAACAAGCTAGAAACCTCTTTAAGGTGTGCATCAAGATCAGAAGCAAGTATGTGTTGGAATTTATCTACACTGATGTATGTGAACCCTTTTATGTTCCTTCATTAGGTGGAAATAAGTATTGTGTGATGTTCATCGATGAATATAGCAAGAAGATGTGTGTATACTTGCTCGAGAAGAAGTCAGAGGTGTTTAATCGCTTTATCAATTTTAAATTGATGGTTGAGAAACAAGGTGGTAGAGTACAACAATGGTGAGTTTAAATCATTTTACAAGGAGAAATGTATTATGCATGATATAGTACTATTGTACACACCACAACACAATAGAGTTGCGGAAAGAAGAAATTGAACAATTTTAAATATGGTCAGAAGTATGTTGAAGACCAAAGGCTTGTTACAATCGTTTTGGGATAAGCGGTATCGACAACCGTATACATCTTGAATCGATGTCCAACAAAGAGAGTGAAGGAGAAAACACTAGAGAAAGTATGGTTTGAAAGAAAGTCAAATATAAAACACTTAAAAATATTTAACTTAATTACATGGAGGCATATCTAGAGGAGAGAAGGAGTAAACTCGACGACATAAGCCAAAAGCTAATTCTGGTAGAATATCATTCAACTGGTGCATATAAGTTGTATGATCCTATCAAAAAGAAAATCATCTTCAATAAAGATATCTTTATTGATGAGAAGGATTGTTGAAACTGGGTTTCGATAGAAGAAAATCGAATTGTTAACTTCAATGACTCAGATGATACATAAATCAGAGGTAAAGAAGGCAGAAATCGAAGGTAGTGGAAATCAAAGAAGGCAGAAATCAACTGATTTTAGAAATTGAAGGAAGGAGAAATCGACCGATAAGATCAATTAGAATACCAATAAGACTCAATGATTATGTGATCAATATTGATGATACTATTACAACAATTGGACAAATGATTAGAGAAACGAAGGACGGAAATGATCTTGTACATTTAGCCCTATATGCTGATATTGAGGTTGAATCAGTTTGCTTTGAGGAAGCGTTTGAGGATCCCAAGTGGATTGAAACCATGAAAGAGGAGTAGTTGGTAATCGAGAAGAATAAAACATAGAAATTAACTGATCTCTCAGATAATCAAAGGTCAATTAGAGTAAAATAGGTATACAAGATGAACTTAAAACTAGACGAAACAATTATAAGATATAAAACCAAACTTGTGGCGAAAAACTTTTGACAAAGAGAAGTATTAGACTACAAAGAAGTGTATGATGATGAGAATAGTTGTAGCTATCATTATCTATAAAGGGTGGCATATGCATCAAATGCATGTAAGATCTGCATTTTTGATTGATGAATTGGAGAAATAAGTTTATGTTACATAACCACTAGGTTTTGTGATTATTAGAGAAGAATAAAAGGTTCTCAGATTGAAGAAGACACTGTAGATTTAGAGTTTGATGAATTAAGCCCTTAGAAGACTAGAAAAGAATATGACACTAAAAATTAGTAATAAGTTAGTCATCAATTTAACGAAAAATTCAATTTACTATAGGGAAAACAAAGATATTAGATTGAAATTTTATTTCATTAAAGATAAAGGAAGAAAAAGTTAAGGCTTAAACACTGTGACACGAAAGAGTAGCTCATAGATATTATGATGAAACTTTTGAATAATCAAAGATTCAAAGAATTAAGAAATAAATTAAATGTTAAATCAATAGTTGAATTAGGGAGATATGTTAAATAATAATTCAACAATTATATTAGTTTTTATTATTAAATTAATTAGTCTAACTAACTTTAATAATTTTTAGTAATATTGTATTTCTTCAATATTTTGTAGATTTGAATTATATAATTCAATTTTTACATTAAATATATTCTGCATATTTTTTCTCTTAATATTCTTTCAATAATTGTTTTCGACCTCCTCTTACTAACATTTAAATGTAAGGATACGTTTTTTTATCCCTCTTTTGTTGAAAGAGTTGGGGTAGTGGAAGAAACATTATAAGAGAGAAAGAAACTCATTCCCATGTATTTACTTCCATTACCAATAGATTGAAGGAAAATAAAATCATTGAACGTTAAGGAGTGTCAAGTCCAAGTTAGTATAAGGAGAGCACAAAAGAAATAAATCATGGTTTTATCATTCTGAACTATTCAATACTCCTTATGATCATAACTTGAGAAAGAATGATGGGAGTAGTTTATCCTAGTCTCTCAGTATGCGTAAATAGTTAGTAGTTTGGACTTTAACATAGAATTTGAAAATCAAAGCATCTTCCTGGTTTCCCAGAGTGAATAGAAGCAGGCATAACTTAACTCAATTTTGGGCCAATCAAGTTTAAGACCCAATATTTTATATCCAAATTCAACCTTTTAAAAATAAATAAAACAATGACTTATACCTCACATTAGCCACACCGGATAATTCCCCTATCGCCTTTATCTTTGGTCACCCTTCGTTGCCAAACACCAATTTTGTGAGCAGAAGCACCTTCATTATCTATCAATTTGTTCACTCCTTTGACATCCTCTCAAGCAAGAATCACTTAAGCTATTAATGGAAACTCTCCATCTTCGAGATTCTAAATATTCCTCTTTTCCACATCCTTTTGCACTTCTAATGGTTGTCTACTTACAGAAAATTTAAACAAATATAAACCAATCAAGAAACTATTTTAATGTTATTATCATTAATGTTAAGAGTTTATCTCACTCTGATGATGTTAGAGTTGTTTTGGCCAACCTAAAATGCATTGATTTTCCTTCGGCTTTTAAAATATTATTAATTTTATTGGTTGATGCAATTGCGCAGAAAGTGGCGCCGAACTGGGAACACGGGAATACATTTTTCTTATCCTTTCACGGTGGAAACTGTAAGAAAGTCATTTATTAAATTGACTTAAAATTATACATTCAGAGTTAGTTTAATTTATTTTTGAGAAATCCTTTACTATCCAGATCATGAATATTAGTTTCATACTTAAAATGAATCCCCAATGGACTTTGTTAGTGCGTCACGGATATTTGCTAGCTTCAGGATCGTCTACAAACCTTGTACCCTAGATTGAGGGCTATTTGTCTTCTTCTTCTTCTTCTTTATAAGAAAATAATTTATCATCGTTATTAAAAAAAAGAAAACTAAGAACTTTTATGTAAAAAAATCTGAAAAAATTTAAAACATCATATTATAATTTGTTTTAGGTAAGGTCAAGTTATGAAAGGGGATACTTTTGAATAAGCAATTCTTGAATAATTTAA